TGTTCCAAAGAATATGTTTTCCCTGAAGAAAAAAATGTTTCAAGTTCAATTGTAGGTCATTTTCATTGCTACTCCAAGAACTTTTGTTGGAACCCTCGTAAGTGCTGTAGTTGTTGGACCCGCTATTTATAATTTAAAATTTAATTTGAATCGTCCTCATTCGGGGGACTGACAATTTATGGAAACCACATGTGATGTTCTCTCACATATGAACATTTCAAGTGATTATTGAAACATAGAAATGCCTAGAAAAGCTAGAATGAGCCAACATGTGAGTGACGCAAATGTTTGTGGTAAACTGTTTTCCTCGTTTTGTAATTTAAACACATTCTTTCATCAATCAATCCTTTGTTATTCTGAAGATTTTAAAATTGTAGCAAAATATCTTGGAGTCCTGCAGTTTACTACGCATAGAAATTTTGAGAAAAAGAATCCTATGAATATTCTATATGCACTAATTATTCAAGAATGATGTGCATAATTGAAGAGTTTAAAAAGTATTCAATAGGTCTCTCAAGTCCCAACATAGATGCATATCACCTCAGTTTTCAGTGAAAATCTTTAAAAATTTCAGGATTCTACAGTTTTTTTTAAATTCGCATTTTATCCTCAAATTCAAGGAGAATGTCTGTATATAATGTGTTTCTAAAATGATACAAGGATAATGCTTGCAAGAATTTTTTCAACATTTTCCGGAAAGGTTCACACAAGTCCTCCAGTTTTTGGCACACATTTTTGAGGGGAAAAGTGCATGAAGTACTCAAATAAATGTTATCAATCAAACATTTAGTCTAATTTGCCTAAAATTAATCTGTGACTGCAGTGTGTGTGTTCCAATTGGAAAAAAATAAATACTAGCCCAACTGTTAATCGTCATTGTAAATGTTTCTGTAGCACCTTCAGCAACCCTGATTCCCATATTCCTTGCACTGAAATAATTTAAATCTGCAGATTTTTTGAAACACCTGAGGAAAATAAAGTCAATACATAGTAATTTATGAAGCTATCAGCAACTGCTGGGTGTCAAATAAAAAATGCCTTGTTTGATAACTAACACCGGAATGATTGATACCTGCTTGACAATTTAACACAAATTAAAATCTAAAAAAGATAAAAACCGATTTCAAAAACACTTTTTTATTTTAGATGTAAAATGGTCTATATTTTCTATGAAGCATTTAGCCCATACGAAATGTATTGTCATTCATTGTCCATTTTTTCCCAAATCCAGACACTCAAGTTGTCCTTGGGCAATACAGCTGCTGTTGATTGGAAAATTTTCAAAGGAAAATGAAAATATCTCCATCAACAACTTGAAGAATAGCCTAGCTCTGTAAATTTTTTTAATTAGTCTATCAAGAAAACTTTAATATCTCTCATTCTGTGGCTTTTATTCTTGTAATTCCACCACTCTTACCAAAAATGAACCTCATTAGAGAATAAGAAGGGAGCCAAAAAAATTTTCTGGGTATAACACTTCACAGCATTTCTATAGGTTTTCTATGAAACAGGACATTAATTACCAAGTGTTTCAAATACTGTACTGTGAAGGAAAGAATTTTCGGCCTGTTCAATGAACCTTCCAACAAGTTCTATGATCACGGTACAGTACAGATTATAGTATTATGGGGTGTTGTGTGGGACAAAAAACCGGTTTTTCCGACCATGATGTTGTTACACTTCCCCTTCCGTGCGGGTCATTTGTGTGTGTACTGTTGGTTCTCTTCCCTCTTATTTTCAGTGTATAATTTATATTTGGGTTCCATAGACTATATACTGCATATAGTTAGGCAAAGATTCTCTGACCGAATTTCCTGCTGCTGGCTGGCACCAATGTCACAGCATACTCGTAATTGAACCAGACATGAACACATGCCGGTGCGGGGCCATCAAATGACTTAGTACTGTTATCCTGTATAAGTTCCCTGTTTGTAAGTCAGCCTTAGATTTTCTTCATTATATTACTGGTTGAAAGCTGTGCCAGCAGCTGGAAAATTTCAGACAGAGTAATGTACTCAAGCATGCAGCAGGAAAAAAAGTATTCGGACTTGACACACAGCAAGACAGAGACATACAGTGAGTCCCCAAGATGCGGACATAATTGGTGCATCAAGAGTGTCCTGATGTCAGAATGTGCCCCAGTCAAGTCTCATTTTCCCTGATAGTTTGGTATTGAAAGGAAATAAAACAAAAGCAAAGAGAAATTCAAGTCTTGCTAGAATAAGCACAGATGATAGAAAAGACTCTGAAAAATAAATTAAAAAGCAGCTCACTTTTGATTATGAATTATAGAGTAAATTTATCATGAAATATTATTTTTTGTGAATAAAAATACTGTACCTTGTTTGTTCAAAAAATATGAAAATTAAATGTTCTAATTGTTTGAAACAATTTTCAGAAGTGTCCCTAACTTGAGCCAATGTCTGGATGTTGGGCCTGATTTTCTCCATTTTAAAGTGTCCCTAAGTCGAATTGTTTCTGTGATGGGGTGTCCGCATATTGGGGTCACACAGTATTCATTAATTGATTTTGAATTTCCAATATATACAGTATGTACATAGGGAATCAAGCATTTTTTCAGCAATTTTGAGAAAGTTAAAAGAACTTCACAATTAATTAAAAGAAATTCACACTACTTAATTAACGAAGGAGTATTCAACACCTTGATTCCCAGGCATACCACTCAAGTTGTATTTTAACAATTAAATGCATCCAAAATTTGCAAAAATTCCTTGCATATCATCGAGATGACTCGTTTACTATTCTCACGCAATTATTTTTTTATTGGTGGAAGTTATTCTCGTAGTCAAGAATCATGCAGCAATTAAAATATGACATCAATTATGTATGAACGGAATATAAAACAAGCTATACCTTGTAATTTAAAAATGAATGCTCAAAACTGTGATACAGTATCACTCATACAGTATCTCACGCTTTTATAACTTGAGGATCACACAATCTGAAAGCAATGGCAAATACAGTTACTGTACATAATGCACGAATCCGAAATTTCTGCAGCATAAGAAATCTTACAAACGCTTTAAAAGCGCCTCTGTGTCTTCCCGCGCTTATTTATGACGTCGAGCGACATCTGCGGAGAAACAGCTAGATTGCTTGGCTGTTCATGTTACAGTAATATACTGTATTCTTGACCATTATTCAGGTATGCATTCTAATTCTGTCCATTGACGTTATCAAGGCCGGAAATTGCAAGTGTCGTGTACAGCGGATACTCCGAAGACAAAAGCACGGACTCATAACAAAATCAATCAGGACTTGTGGAGGCGAGAAAGATGTCTTCCCGCAATATCAAAGTTACTTTTTTTCTCAAAAAAATGACGATTTACTTTTATTGGATAAATCCAGGATTCAGTGGGTCACCGCACGGAAGAAAAATAAGAGCTTCTGAGAATACGCTCTTACACCCAAATATTACCCATTTTTGAAATGCTCGTAGGCAGTTTAAGTGGTTGAGTCTTCCGAGCTTACATGTGATATCGCGAAGGAAATGCGGTTATTAAAAAAAAAAAAAAAAAGGTACGAAACAAAGTGTACACTTTTTTTTGGGAAGAATGCGGGAATCGTTTACTTGTTGCTCAATAATATCCGCTCTGTACCAGGAGAGCTGAAGTATATTTTACGTGAACGAGGTTGAAATTCTCATCCTGTTGCCAAGATAGGGGAGGACTTCCGCATGCACGACTATTTTCACGGAAAGCTGACTACTACTATAGTATACGTGGAAAGCCGACTAGTATTTCAGTATACGTACTGCATTTTGAACTGCCTAAAAATCCAGCTCAATTCCTGTAATACTAAGAAACACAGGTGCACAGTACAAATCCAAAGTTCGCACCAATTTACGCAAGAGGATTACCTCGCAACAGAGGTTTCAAAATCATTGAATGAATGGCGACAGTGCGGGCAGATTGACCGATATTCGTCGGTTCTCCCATGAAAAGCTATCCTTTCGTGGTTCCTGTCAACTTCGCCCAAGAAGAGTGCAGTTAATTCATGTTCGGGATTGCTAAAATGAAATGCAATTCTTCGATCAAAAAGATTATGCGATTCGTTTCCAACTAAAATACTTTGGATCTCCTCATGTCTTCCTAATTTCAAGTTCTCGAATGGCGATAGCGAAAAATGATCAATAAGGTTCATTTGAATCATGTCATATTCTGCGTTTGGTTTCAGAGATACATGCCTTCGAGCAACTGACACGATTCTTTCGAAGAAACTCTTAATTACTACATTACGCTCTTGATAATCAATTCAGTTTCTTATTCACACACCGCTTTGTGAGTCATAACTTCCCTGCTTACAGGTACTCTTCATATTCCAAATTACTCACGTCAAATAGAATGGTTTCGTCTGAAAAGCACACCAAAATAAATTAGATACTAGAAGACAGACATTCTGAAAACCCCACCTGTACATTGGATCTCCAAAGAATTTTACCTGTTATTACTTGGTTCTACCTCGGCATTCATTTTCTGCGAATTTTCATCTTTTACAGCAAAAAGGTTCAAGATCATGCGGTCGTATTCGAACTTAGACGAGGTGTAAGAATAGAATTACAAATGAACACTTGGACTAACCCTATCGCCTATGTTTGCAATCGAATGGCCCCCTCGCGTGTGATGATTTCAGATTTTTCTAAATCCAGGTTTTAGATTATACTGTAAATTGTTCCAATTGTATTCTCAGGCATTGACAGGCACACATTTTCGTCGGGGTCATAAGAACCATCCGAAGTGTAGACTGCGTTACGGCAGATTTAAAGATAACTCATTTGAAGGCAACTATTGACGTAGAACTGCGTAAATCATAGTATTGTAGTCATTTACAAAATTCAATGACGATATTTCAACATGGATTACAACAAATCAACTAACATGGCCGAGGCTACGGAAGTACCGGAACGGCTTACTTGAATCCGATGAGCCTTTCAAATTGCTCATGAGTAATGCATTTCAATTTCTCTTCTTCTAAAGAAAGTTTTATCCAGGAAAAGCAGTTTTGTTTCTCATCTTCAACAAAATCGATCCCAGCAAAAAAGCGCAAGCGATTGCAAAGTAACGGTAGATTTACTGTACACGTCGTCCTCACGAAAAGTTTCGTCCATGTTCTCACAAATAAAACGCTCTTCGCTTTCAATAAATGGGCTTAGGCTCTCCATAGCGTCGGGACTCGAGAATTAAGCCATTTCCTCAATCGTACCGTGCTGCAAACGATCGATTGGTACATCACAAGTGCCCAGTGAAAAAAAGCCATACGAAATCACTGGCGAGGAAACAAGGCGCTTAAAGGTAACGGAAACATTTAAAAAAAAATTCTCATAAAAGTTAAAATCACTAAGCCGCGGGTTTCCACGAACCACAATCGATGACGGTTCAGATGTGAAAACCAGTTCCTCTAGATGAGTTAACGCGATTCTTTGCATCTTACATTAAATCTCGGCAAGTGAAGTTGCACCGCTTTCAGGGACGTAAAAAATTAACGCTCTCCTCCGAATTCAGCAAAACTTTCACTGAGCACGATCAATATAATCATAAAAATCAACTAGTATCCGGCATTCTCGTCTGAATCGGGAGTACGATGGAGAAAACGCAATATCTGCCAAAGCAAACCTACCCAAACGCAAAGACTTTTGGCTCAACCTTCCATCCCGAAATCAGACTTAAACTTGTCCAACTTGATTAAATCCTCGGCGTTTACAGTAGGGCGTGTTGTTGCCAGCGATCGCAACATGTCGCCCATATTCAGCACAGGTTCGAGTAGCTTATCACTAGGCACATCCATCCACGACATTTCGATCGCCCCAGGGGTTCCAGGGGAACAAGGGGAGAGCAAGTCATCGACTGTAACATTTGGGTCATCTCGCGAAGGTCCGCGGACACGTTGGAAGTGCGTCGCGGTTTGAACCTTCCGCACTGGCTGCATCAATGCATCACGCACAACAACCGATATATCCGCACCAGAGAACCCATCGGTTTTGTTTCCTAGAGTCCTGAAATCTTCCTCGGAGAGCGAATTCGGGGTGTTTCCAACGTGAATTTTGAAGATGTTCGTCCTGGCAGGTGCTTCAGGCAATGGGATGTAAATACGTCGCTCGAATCTTCGTCTGATGGCCGCGTCGAGGACCCACGGAATGTTGGTTGCTCCCAAGACAAGAACACCGTCACTGCTGTTGCCAACGCCTTGCATTTGAACCAGGAACTCAGTTTTGATTCGTCTCGCTGATTCAGATTCGTTATCTGAACGAGACGAACACAAGGAGTCGATTTCGTCGATGAAGATGATCGACGGTTTGTGGGTTCGGGCAAGCTCAAACAGGTTACGCACAAGCTTCTCTGATTCGCCCAACCACTTGGAAACAAGGTCGGCAGAGGACACCGAAAAGAAGGTGGAGTTGTTAGCTTCTGTAGCGACAGCTTTTGCAAGGTACGATTTACCCGTCCCTAGAGAAGACAACGAATTTATCATGAACCCGTCAAAATTAATACCATATGAAACCACATACCAGGAGGACCGAACAGCAAAATTCCACGCCACGGTGTCCGCTTTCCAGTGAATAAATGCGGAAACTTAATAGGAAGGATCACTGCTTCTTTCAATGCTTCTTTCGCAGCTTCCAATCCAGCGACATCGTTCCACTTGATATTTGGTTTCTCCATGATGATGGCACCTTGAAGAGAGGCTTGAAGCTTCTTCTTCTCTGGGTTATCACCCGATTCGTCGGACTCTGAATCTGATCCTTTCCCACCGTTCGACTTCTTTTCATCAGTTGCGCCAGCTTTGACGGGTTTCTTCTTATTTTTCTTCAAATGTTCTTTGAGAACCTCTGCGCGTTCAAGGTATTGCATGCACTTTCCACGAATGCTTTCCTTGGCTCGTTCACTCTGCGCTTCATATTTAATGGCATGAAGGAAATACTGCACTCCATTTTCATATAACCTCATGGCTTCTTCATAATTCTTGTTCCGATCCTCCTCTGTTGCTTTCGTCACCAAATCGATTGCCTTCTGTAAAGTACCACCGGTGGCCATGACTGCACGATCGGTACCTGGCAGGGACATATACAATACAGTACATTAATTCGGCAATTTCTCCTTCGATGAGGAACGCGAAATCGCCGAAAACTTGACATGAACCTACGCGATGAATCAGTGCAGAATATCGTCACATCTATTCGCAAATCACGACAGTGAAAGGAAGACGATTCCCTAGCTGAGCAGGAGTATCGCTCGACTTTCGACCTTCGAAATAATTACATACCAAGCAACAGTGAGTAAATTTCCACGGGATTTCGAATTACTGAAGCGACACTTCTGATCAATGAGATTAATTCACACGTTGGGTGCTAATGTGAAGAGACATTGAGGTCCAATTTGGGCTCTTTGAATCAAAGAGCGCACAAGTTCATGACATACACAGTACTGTAACAGCATTTGCAGTACAGTACTGAACTGTAATTTACTGTACGGTGCATGTACTGCACCATAGTACAGTTTACGGTACCATAGTAAGTGCGAGGTAGGTAATAACTTTTGTCATGCATATCTGAATTTTCATGGAACTTCCATGCACATTCTGTATCTGAAGAATAAAAATTTGAAAGGGCTACGTCCCAGCACACAAAAGTATGATAGTCACCTGTCACCGAGAAAGAGCATCAACAGTGTTGTGCTGAAGCTACTGATTGAGACAATTGCATTGAATGTTTAAAGGAGAACAAGAAGTTGTTCGTCAGTATTGCCATTGAAATTTCCTCGCTAGATCAACCATCTGTGGCTTTCTGAAATTGTCATTGTGCACTATACCTCAAAGGGGAATCTAAGTCGAAGCCCATTTTCATCCAAGAATTTAATTTCAAGATATGTGTGCACAAACTTCCAAAGCCTATATGTATTCCGCCTAGTATCCACCCTACGTAATTTCTGAAGTAGCGAATATATTTAGCGAATTATAGATCACATATGTACAACACTTCAACTACCATGAATAAAATGAATACAGTACATCAAAAAAAATAAGTCACGCAATTTCCATTTCAAATACAGTAGATTTTATTTTTTCGAAAACACAAGACACCAGTTGCCCTCCTCATAATACACATCATCAATCACGAGTCCTTCCACCGTTTCGGCTAATCTGAACAATTCTCCCCTGGAAAAAACGTGATAAAATCGATGGTGTATTTTAGAACTTTCATTCAATTCTTCAGGCTTATCAAAGCCACCATCTTCCATCTTTTTCAACGTCCATGGAACCAATAGATCAGAATGTTTGAAATTGGATCGATTTTTATGCACAGGCAGTTTCACTGTCCCTGAACTGACTTCGCAACGCGCGAATATTTCTTCTACGACAGGTACCGATTCAGAAATGGGTTTATTTTTCTTCCGCGTTTTCAGATAGTAGGATTTGAGGTTTTTCAGCTCCTGTTCCTTGGCCCAAACGTACACCAATCCTTTGGCACCCGGCTTGAGTATCCGTAAGATCTCCTTCAATGCAAGTCTACGCCGGCTTTCCGTAGCGAAATGATGCACAACTGCTATGCAAATTGCGGCATCGAACGAGTCGGACCGGGCCCCAATAGCTAGACAGTCAGACTGAAACACTTCTCCTTTTTCTTGGGCATTTCGTAGAAGTCCCAGCGTAACATCGAAACCAATCTGAAGTGAGAGACAATAACATGAGAATTTATTCCATCATCCCTTCGATGATGTTAAATTTCATGCTCAAGCCGAGGTGCAAAGACAATCTTGGCCATTTCAGTGAATAATCAGTTACCATTTCCTTTTTTGCCGTTTAATTTTGATTCTGGAAGCTACAGAAATTCCTGCTTAGCAACCGTTCTAGTCTTTTTCTTAATAGCAGGCAGTTGTTTCCTCAATGTTAAAATGGAACGCGAAAGTAAGGATCGCGACATGCAGCAATAACGTAGAGAAAACGGCTGTTGTCGTAAGGCATCAAAATTGAACTTGGTCCAATAGTACAGTACTAAAAAGTAAAAAAAAAGTCGTTTTCTTTGCGCGAAAATGTCCTTGAAAATTTTGGGTTTAGAAAAGACGAAAAGTCATGGAAAACTGTAACATGACGTCACAAAAACGCGGAATAAATTTCCCAATATTTAACGTCATTTTAGACCTACATTTCCGGAATCCACGAGACCGGATGAATCAGAAAGCAAACGTGAAAAAAAAATTTTGCATCCGTTCTATAAATTCTTGCGGTTTATAAACGATGAAGTTGGATAAACATTTAGATAACTGGAGTGGTTATTGAACGCTGCGCGTGAATTACATGATTTTTGTACTTTATGGCTAAAAATCTGACCACATTCTTCGGAACATTCTGAATTTAACATTTGTTCTCATACAACATTTACCATCGTGAGATCAGGACGTATGGAAACATATTTTCCATTCCCACAGCCAACGTCAACAATGAGTGAATGAGGTGGAAGTGAGTCCAGGAACTTGACAATCCCAGGCCAGGCTTTTGAACGCGTTTTATGGAAATGATCCGCGATGCTGTTGTAAACCTTGAAAGCCAATAAATTCTTTCGTAATACGGGAATGGCCCGGAAAAACATTCACAAAAATTAATGATTTATACCTTCAGAACATGGTTCCTTTCCAACTCTTCAGCAACACGCTCTAACGCATCAGCATCTTCGTTTATTTCAAGGGACTCTTCAACATTGCCAACCCTTGAATTCTGGTAGTCACACTGCGCAGGATAATCACAATTGCAAATGCCGCTCGGATTAACTTTTCTGAACGTCAAAGACATCCTTCGCCCTCTTTCAAGAACTGTCACCCCACCAACGTTACTTCGGGATTTCACCAAATCCAGCTTCCTCGGCACAATGCCATGTGACCACAGATACCTTCAAAATAAAATTCACATTTTTTTCTTCTGCATCACTTGAATTGAAGAATTAAAAACACAGAATTACCGGCTTTCTCCACGAAAAATTGTCAACGACTTTCTGTTCAGAACAACTGATCGATCCTGAACTGCAGGTCGATTCTGATGTCGAAATTGCATCACAACGGGAGAACCCAAACTCAACGAAAATATCGGTCCACTGAAGGGGCTGTGTGTGTCAACGTGATTTGGAATTCCTGAAAACAAATCACGGGTTTTTATATGCTTTCATCAAAGCAGGGTTTGATAACTAACCTTGCCCAGGCTCGTAAACATTGACTGTCAGTTGGTCCGGCAAGTTGGCTTCATCAATTCCGGGAAACTTTTTCACGAATTTCAGACATATTTTTGGAATTGCTTTGTCTGGCAGTGGCTTCTCTGGATCGACGGCATTGGTTGCATAATTGAATTCATAGCCGAAGTGAAGCACCCGCCTATGTTTCAGCGAAGATCCGACTGTGATAATGCAGAATGACGTCGAATCATCTCACAGAAGATAAGAAACGAAACGTCAAATCTTAACATACCAAGATCGTTCTTTGAATCTGAAACTTGATCAACCCACGCCAGTAATTCCTCTTCTTCCTCATCCACTAAGAAATCCTCTATGATGTCCAAACCAGGGGGAGGATCAAAAACACATTGGTCACGGAGATCAGGAACTGAAACAGACGAAAATCAATCCAGTCGACTACATATTACGATTAATTTTTCAAGCAGTACCCGAATCGACGAATGCAGCATAAAGAGTTCTTCTATCCATAGTCTCGCAATTATTGATGCTTTGCACCGCCTTTACCGCAGATTCCACGGATTTCATCACGGCGAAGGCGTAGGACTTGTTTGTTGGCATGATGACGTTTTCTACACTTCCGAAGCGGAGGAAAAGCTGAAGAAATTCTTCCTCCGACAAGCCATTCATCAGACCGGCATTGCAGATGCAAACAAACTACATTCACGAAAAATATTTCGATTTAAACTTCGTTTAATGAAAAACACGAATATTTCGATTAATGATGAGTAGTAAGAGCAATCTAATTCAAAAATGGAATTTTAACCCTTCTTGGTCAACTTATACAGTAATCTTGCCTCTGTCGGTTTGTCAGATCCCGAAATCCCCAAATCTCTGCGGATTGCTGCCAATACTCTGGTTTGCTTCCGCGCTCGTTTCTTCGCATCCATTATGACATGAAAAAGGCAGTTGCGAGAGGCAAAACCTGAAATCTACACCGGTTTACTCTAGCAATCAAACCTGCAAAAATCGGAAATATTAGCAAAGAACAATCATGCTTTCCCCCCACTGTAGGAAATCAATGTAGAAGCACGAAAAGTGGGTTCAGAGAAAATACGGTAAACCGAGTTTGAAGAGACAAAAATTCAATAGGCAACTGTTCAAAAAAAGTTTTTTTTTAGAAGTGTTTTTTGACGAATACAGCATATTGTATTTTCCTCGACGAACATGAGGTAATACCTTGGATATTTCCAGTAAACTGAACTGTTTTCACCGTATTCAAACTCTTCATGTCTTAGAAAAATGTATTTTTTCCACGCACACTAACTTTTTTGACATCAGATTTGATTTGCAGTTCTTCGTTTCTCGGAATGTCCGCGCCAGGACTGAACGCAGATATTTTTACGGTAATTAGTTTTGAATCACAACAGAAATTCATCAACGAAAGAAAAACAATTTTAAAAAATTGAAAGAAAGCTTCCAGTTGAAAGTTGCGGCATTATCTGTTTACTGCCATTCAGAAAGACAAAGAATCACATGAATATGAGAATCACAACAGAAATTCATCAACGAAAGAAAAACAATTTTAAAAAATTGAAAGAAAGCTTCCAGTTGAAAGTTGCGGCATTATCTGTTTACTGCCATTCAGAAAGACAAAGAATCACATGAATATGCAGCAAAAGCACAATAGTTGGTTTTTCCGCGGTTCACGAGATCAACGTTCTCATAACAACACCTGAGCTTCCATGGAGTACATTTTCGATAACTAATGCTGCACCTTGGACCTCGCAAGCATCAAGACTTTTCCGTCATTTGAATCTAAATTTTAGAAATATTGCGATGACTAGACCTGTGAATCACAAAAGCATCAAGACTTCCCGCGTCATTTGATCTAATTTTCTCAATACTGTACTGCGAAAACTAGACCTGAGGATCAGGTAATTCGCCTTCTTTAATGTCCTGAGGAGGTGTTTCAGTACTTGACTTGTTCGTACTCGACGGAGAGAAGGCAACTTTTCTTTTCCGCGAGCTGCTCGATGAACTCATGCGACTGGACACAATTTTCAAACTGGGACTTCCCGGGGTCCTAGCACCAGACATTGCACGTTTCTTCCATAGCTTCAAGGACCTCACTTGCTGTCGCAAATCCTCCACTTCTTTCTGGTAATCCATGGCTTTCCATTCGTTTAGACTAGCTTCGGCCGCCAGAGTTTTGATCTGGTTCGTCTTTCGCGTTAATATGTCATTCAGTTCTCCCAACCTAGTTACGCAGGCATCGACTTGGTCTGAGCGCTGAAGTGCCTGAGACAGATTCGTCTTAAGCGTCATGATATCTTCCAATTTCTCCTGCAACTTCCGTTCCGCCGCCACGACTTTACGGCGCAATTTGGAAATTTGCGAGATGAGGTCCGCCTTTTCTGGATCGGTGCCACCAACAACGGCGGTAGCCACTTGCAATTCACCTCACGATTCAAGAGCGAGGTCAACGAAGTGGAACAGTGAAACAACGACCTCAAGGAACGCAAGTAAGTCGTTTTACAACGTTAGAACGAACTGGAAAACAGCCCAAGTTCGTGTTGCAGCGTTCTCCTGGCTCAGCTTGTCCAAATCCCTGAAAAAGCCAAAACATGTCACCGAATCGCAACAAAATATTTTTTAAATCTGTCAACATACAGGAATATCTCCAAAATAATTGTGCACATACAAAACCTTCGGATTTGGAAGGAAAATGTCACCCCCAACTTAATTTAATACTGCACTCCGGCAAACACAATCATTTTCTGTAAAAATCAAAATACAGTACTTTTGAGCAACTTTGACTGCTTGAATATTCATTAGGTTGACCAAATAAATGAGACTTGCCTACAGAAGATTTAAACAAAGAAATCCTCTGAACGGAAAATGCAACACTGATGAAAAAAAAAAACCAGGAATTTCTGGTTCAAAAATAAAAGCTTAATTACCGCTTGAGAGTTTGAATCATGAGCATTTTTTCAGCGTAATCCTTCTCACTCCTCATCAAGACTTTTTCCTGAACTTGGCGCTCTTGCATCACAGTCAAAAGTTGGTCAAAGGAAACGCAGTTTACTGGGTAATTTCGTAGAGCAAGGGCAACGTACTCTAGGTCATTGAACCGTACTACAAAACTGACTTGTGGTTAAAAGTGCTCGAGAACAAGGTCAACGAAGACGCACGTGTATGCTTTGGAGAAGGACTTTTTAAGGTGACATTCGTTTTTCCGCAAATTCTGAGATTCTACTGTCTTTTTCTCCAGCAAAGATTTCGTGTTGAGGATTGTTTTTTCGGCAGCGGATAAATTCTCTTCCTGCCGAGTCAGGTTTTCAGAGAGAAGCTGGATCCTGTGATCCAGAAGCTTCACCTTTTGGCGCAAATCTTCACACGATTCCATGTTTTCCGCAGCGATTTTGCTGTACTCAAGTTTTTCTTTTCTTAACTTATCAATATCTGTGAGCAAAGATTTAGACTGTAATTCCGTGGCTTTCAACTGACGCTGAAGATTCAACGTAGCAGCAGACTGTGATGTTTGTTGCTGTTCCGTAATATTTAATTTGGTCCGCATGAGTTCATTGTCGCGTTGAAGACGGGCTCGTTTGCTTTCCAGTGACCCTTTTTCTTCTTCGAGGTCAGTGATTATCTTTCGCAAACGCTTCAATTCTGTGACTGACGACTCGTACGTAGCATCCTTGTTTTTCCGGTCTTCATTTTGTGCCAAAATTTGCGCTTCCAAATGCGACTTCGAGTTTAGGAGAGCATCGCGCTCTTGAAGCAAAGCGTCCCTTTCCTGAACGATCGCTTCTCTGAACATACGTTCTTGCTGGAATTTCTCTTCGAGTTTGTTCTTTTCAGCGGCGAATTTTTCCTTCTGACTTTGCGCCTTCTCAAGCGCTAGTCTGGCTTTAAATTCGTGTTTCTTCAATTCCTGGTTGTGTTTTGATACTTCCCGCAGTTCTTTCCGGATTTTCTCGAGCTCGGCGATGTTCATGATTTCCTTGTTGCTCCAGTGCGACACCTCAGCATTGAATTTCTTAATCTGGACTTCGTTCGACGCGATTTCGTTTGTGGCTACTTCTAGTTGTTTCTTGAGATCATCTATCTGATGGTTCAAAGAGTCGTTGGTAGACTTCATCTTCGCTGTGTTGGTCTGAATGAAGTTCAACTCCAGCGTCTTGTCATATAATGACGTACGGATGGACGTGATTTCATCTTGAAGGCCGTTGCTTTTGCTCTGCGATTGCTGGAGTTGTTTCGAAATGCTCTCGATCGTTTTAATCTTGTCTTCGAGATCTTTAGCGTGGGTCTCGGTTATGGAATCCAATTGATCGGATTTCTCCTTCAGCTGCTTAATGACGGCTTTATTCTCTTCGATTTCGGCTAAAAGCTCGTTGTTCGCCTCTTTTTCTTCTGCTAATTGGCGGAGGATGTCTTTGGCGTAGAGATTCAGTTCTGCAAAATCTACTTTCAGGTCTTCCACGCGTGTTTCTGCAGCGTTACCACGGTCTGTCGCTTCATCAACTGCGGTCGTTAACCGGCGAATCTCACCGTTGAGAGCATTAATTTTCTCCTCGGCTTCCTTCTTCTCAGATTTGGCGAGATGCACTTCCTCGAGGGCCTTTTGCAACTCGCGTTTGTAGTTGGCAATGACGAGTTCTTGATCATCTATGCGTTTGTGGGCGCAGTCGAGGTTTTCTTTGGTTGTATCGAGCTTGGCCTGGCACGAGATGTTGGATGCAAGCAGGGATTGCTCGTTGGTGAATGAGTTTCGAAAGGAGCCAAAGAGTTTCTCAAACTCTTCGCGGTATCGGTTGAGGCTCGACACGGCTTCGAGTTCAGCAAGGGTTTCTTGATACTGGCGTTCGAGAGTGCGGAATTGGGCTTCAGTGAGTGTAGTGGAAGCTAATGGGGTTGCGGGGGGTTCATCCTGGTTAGGTTTCGGAGCTGGATCCGCATCGTCTTCGTCTTGGTCCGCGAGATCAAAGTCCATGTCTAGGTCTTTGTCCACCGACTCCATCGTTCAACTACAACACCAATCTGAAAAAGAAAAAAATTGCATGAAATTTTTACAGTTAGTACAGATCACGAAAAACATCTGTGGCGAAGTTCTCCAATTTTTTTTCTCAGATGATGCGCCCACTTCCCCACTGAAAACGCAAAAATTTGAAGAATTCAATCAAACTTCTGAAAGCGCGAAACGAATTTTCAACGAGAAGCGTTGATAAAAACGCCAGGATTAAAAAAGTAATAATTGATGGTTCATTCCCTCTTTCAACATCCCCAAACTGCTGGATTTCCTCTTCACTTCAAGTTAAAATGGGATTCATTCACGGACACCAATCGATCATTTTTCACGAGGTTTTAGAAATGCATCGATTTGAAAATCCATTTAATGGAATACAAACGGCTGGTCAATACGCGATTAAAAAGGATCGTGGATGCGATTTCAAACAGACGAGAAACACATTTTTTTATCTGAAAATAAATGCACTCGGTGCGACGGACGATTGGCCGATACGAATAATTCATGACAAAATATAATTAATTCATCTAATTTCGGAAATAGCACTCCTTGCCACAAAAATGATCTGAACCTCATAAGAAGTGGACTGAGGCTTAGAAATCATTTGAATTCAGAAACTGCCACTGTCAAAGTTATCGGAGAAACATTTACTTCAAGTTCAAGTGGTTGTTTATTTGCCTGTCCGGAGATGCACAACATATCTTGATTTTCATAGATAAAAATTTTACGAGTTTCACAAAAAAAAAACCAGGGCCATGTTATTAACTTCATGCGTATGAGTTGTAAAAACTTGAACAAGAGGACATCTAGGAAAAATAATTGACAATCTAGAAGCTTTCAAGAAATTAATCTGAGGTACAGTACAAATTAAATGAAAATAAGTGTGTGAAATTAATCCTAGGGCATCGTCCATTGACTTGATCGTATTTTTTCTGGAGAAACAATTTAAACCTTGCCAATCTTCAACTAAATCGCGGGTTATTCAAGAATGTTTTCTGTCGTGTACCCGCATCAGAACAGCCCAATGAACATACTGTAATTTCGTGAGTCTACTTTTTAATTTACAAAAATTAATTGGTTAACAAGGCCGTGCATCTTCGAAATCACGGAAACGAAAAAGTTTCATTTACAGCTGAAAAGATGCTGAATTTTTGTAAAAGCTCAACCAGGCAATAAAATAACCGAGACAAGGAAAATCTTTATTTCGAAAAAAAAAAACCCTAGACCACCACCACAGACATTTTCAGAAGCCAGTCTGGATGATCAATGAACTGCACCCTCACAGGATCCTGCCTATACCTTTTATAACCGACCTAGTGAATGCAGCAGGTTTTCTCATATTGATCCAACAGACACGGAGGTGATGAGCGCTAAGGAAATTCCTATGTTCGACTTTGCGCAGAAATGTCTCAAGCACACGCACTCATTTCCCCTTCGCCTATTCCTTTACCGTGACAAGAACCTTTAGAAAATTACTCTAAATCGTCGTGCAGCCCATCTAAATTACCTCGAAAATGAGGGAACCCATTTCCAACCACCAGCCATTTCTGGAAATCCTCGACAATTTCCTCGAATTTCCCTGTTTTAGTGGATTTCATACTTTTGAAATGTTTTACGGGATATTCCTCGTGTTCCTGAGTTTTTAAAAGAGCTGAAGTAAAAGCATTTCAACATTTTAAAGATTAATGAATCACACTCATCACAAATTTAAGGTTTTATTCAAAACTTCACTGCCCAAAGCGGAGTTTATTTCTGAGACCAAAGAATTATTCCTTTTGATTTGGCTGTACACGATTTTTATGCATCAGTTTTTGCCCTGGGTTTACAATAACAGTAATGACGAAAATGAAGCAAAAATAAAAACCGGGCCTTGAACTCTTTCGTTGGAAGATTGAATCTGTAGATATGAGGTAACGAATGGCCATGGATTCATCAATGACAGGTTCTGCTGGTATCGAACTTCATCTGCCCCACAATTGGGGCCCCCAAGTTCGCGAGGTGGACCCTGGACGACGAGATTTACATCACGACATGAGGGTCTCCCTTTTTATTATTGTTGTTTTCCATAATACGAATATACGGATTTTTTTTATTCTGATGCGAAAGATTAGACATGTCAATCTTGGTTCGCTTTTTATGATTTCGCACCTGCCGGCATATGACTCAATCGTGATTTTTTTCCCATCAAGAGTTATTTTAATAGGTTATTTGTACAGTATTTCATTCTGGGGATGCATTTTCCAAATGCAGAGGAGCAATCTCAACTTCTGAAACGAACTAGATTTTTCTTCAGAAATTTCCTTCATTTTCTTTGAGATTTCACAGTTTCGAAAGGGACACTTTTTGAGTGCAATTCAATTTTTCACTTGGATTCAGAATTATGGTACAGTACAACGAACGACTGAGATCCTGAAAACGGTTCAAAAGCGCAATAAATATTAGAAGGATCAATTTTGAATGGGCCCTGAACAGTGTGCAGTACTCCACTATTTTATTCGCATGTTACGCGGGTAATTGAATTTCTGGAAAATTTGGCAAAATTCGCAGCTTTACTTTATGGATCTAATTTTCCCCTCAGAATGCGGCCTGTTTTACACAATCATTTTTCATTCCAAACGAAATCATGAATTATTTGGAACACATGCTTCATTTTCAGATAGAAGATATTTAGAAAATGATGAACCATTATTAGAACAAGAACTAAATGCTTCATATTGGAAAGAATTCGGTGAAATCATAATTGAATAAAAATTTCAAATGCTGGGAAAGTCAATGGTAAAGTATTCCTTCCCATAAAAAAAAAAAACAAGCTCTACATCCTATGAAAATCGCTTTCGAAAGCAGAAATAAAGCAAAATTTACTCCCCTCGCAGAATTTCCAGCAGCTAGACAACTTAATAAAATTCTGTCGAAGTGCAAAAAATAAGTTAGCCAAATTATCATCATAGAAATGGTAACAATTGCCGCGAGAAAAAAAAACAGCCCACTAGGAATGACCTAATTTCCCATACCAACATTCGTAGCTTCTCTTTAATCTGAAGAAACAGCTTTTACAAATTTTTGCGCAGCAAGAAACACTTGAAAATGTAGTCCATCGAAAGTAGGTCAAGTACAGTACCGTTTGATAAGATGTTTTTCAACTGAATTATCTAATTCTCACCAGAGCCCCAATTGAGTAAAATATTTCAAAATATTTTAAAAATCAAATACTTCATTCAGTTAACTACAGTACTCATATACGAGTTGAGAAAATATGGTCTTCGACCCTTCTGCGAATCGATTTCATGCATGCTTTTGAAAGAGAAGGACTCGAAATCATGGAAATATAAGACGCAGTTTACGCCCCCCTCCAAACAACCCCAACATTTCACTTTCAAGATAAACGCGAAACAAAAGAGAATTGTTGCTTGACGGACACGCCTTCCAGAGAATCCCGAGCAGAGCAGTATCTAGAGAAAAACACGAAAGATAACACTGATAGCAGATCAGGGTCTTCCAGGGATACTTTAGGCCAAGACTTAAATGTCAGCTTCTCAGACAACACACGATGGTTGCCTGGTTCCCGCAAACCCACGGCACAGGGAACATACTTTTTCAAAAGTTTCCAGTGTTGGATGATCAGATCAAGCGGAATCATCATTTTTTGCTCTTCCAACATGACAATGAAAAATTCAATTGACTTAACTAACGCCGTGAAATATACGTCGATCTCCCCATAAAATAGCATCATCCTGTTCTATCTATGGTTTCTGGATCCAGTGAGAATTTTTACGCTCCTCTGTGAGATGTCAAGTGCTACTGGACATCTAAAAATATCCAAAAATAAGTATTCAACGAAGTGGTGATCATTTCCCCTTATTTCGCGCGGGAACGTGTCCATTCAAGTTGTGAATGCCGCTGTGAATTTTACCAGATACTAACGGATCAGCAAATTTCAATTTTCGCGCAGACAGTTGATCATCAGATTATGCCAAAATGAGCATCATTCTAATCACGCGAAAAAAATATAAAACACAGTAACATATAATTTTATTTCGTTTTCAACAAAGTTTTACAATTCACACTTTTACGGCACTCGTTTTAAAATTAGTTGAAACAGTTCGGTAACGGAATAGTACAAAATAGACCGAGAAAAAAAATTCAGATGGAATAAAAATGAGAAGGTTGACGAGGTAAGGAATACCGTAGGCTTTCTTCAAAGAGGTGAACAAAAACTTGGGTATAGCTCGACATGTCCAAAGACTTGGTTCAAATCATGAAAAAATAATTCAGCTATTCACTGAAGCCAAATACAGTGCAAATAATTTCGCTCAACCGAGATTTACAAAAAGCCGACCACCACCTAACATGTTCGAATTTGGCAAATCAAAAACACATCCCATTGTTGAAATTCACCGATCTGTCGCTCGCCTACTCCGCAGCAAATTTTAGCCTGGTTTCAGATCGAACTGTGTACAATAAAAAACAACCACGAAAAAAAGGGTATTTTTTTTACATTAGGTTGCAAAATGGAAATCTGCGAACATCAGGGTTTAAGTCAATCAGACTGATTTCCTAATTCCAGTTTAGATATTACACGTGAACGAATCTGCACAAGTTGGTTGGATCCAGAAACGAAAATGATCCCGCAGTGGTCCTTGATAAAAATCGTCGTGATCTCAACGGTGGTTTCCATGCCTTGGGCCGATGCAAATCGTTTCAGGATCAACAAGTTCGTTCATATGACGACTTTCAAAAAAATATTTTAATCAAGGAGTGCCCGTGTTTTTCTGCGTTTCTTCCCAATTGCAGGGCGAAAAGCAAAGAAAACGGTCACCCAAGCCTCCTCTATCCAAAAGACACAGCTACGCGAGAACTAAAACGCCTAGATGGAGTCTGGGACTTTCGTTTGGCTCCTTTCAACAATTCGGAAATCGGCTTCACGCAACAGTGGTTCAGCCAACCCTTGAGAAATGTACGTGAACCAGGTTCTTCCTCGGCATTACACCAAAACCCAACACTTTTTAAAAATATGACCATGAACTGTCGCAGGAATTATGGCAATCAAATGCATCCTATCAAAAATATCCTTAGCAATCGTAACTTTTCCGCTCGTGATGTAAAATTACAGACGAATAATAAATTAAATGCACTGCAATGGAATTATTTATTAAAAAAAATCAAAACATTCAGCCTCACAATTCCTCTGACCTCACCTCACTATCGAGATAATAGAACACTACCTTTTCGGCTTTCTCCCCTCCTGAATTCGCAATAAAGTAGGACTAAATCAAATCTGAAGCAGTTAATCCACAAATATGAAGGGAAAGGGAAACGAGCATGTTGATTTTCCGCCTTTGATTAGACCGGGACAGTTTTGGACATGCCGGTTCCATCTAGTTTCAACGACATCACACAAGACCGGAAAATCCGAGACCACGTTGGCTGGGTGTGGTATGAAACGAATTTCATACCACCACAATCTTGGGCGACTGATTCCAGGATTGTTCTGCGATTCGGCAGCGTGCAGTACCTCGCAGTAGTCGTAAGTGACGTTTCATTCATCACTGACTTACGAAAGCAGCAGGGACCACGTTTGAACTCAAATATTCTTCGCTTAAAAAGGCATGTAAGGTATGGAGAACTCAGAAAGTATCCTACTTCGAAACGTTCCGACGGTTGGAGAGTTGCAAGAACGTGAATACTTTTTAAATGAAAATTATGACAAGAATGTATGCGAAATCGACTTACCTTCGCGGTTGTAGAAATATTCACGGCCAGTTGAAACCAGGAAAATTAATCACTCTAACGAAACCCCTGCATCGTTCCATAAGCAGTTTCAAAGTTCACGGCGACCCTGATTCTGTCTTCTGTCGCATGGATTCTAGTATCTCAACGGAAATCTGATCACAACTCATGTCGGGGGTCATCTACCATTTGAATCCGACGTGACCACATCACTGAACTTCGGATCCAAAAACCGCATCACTGTGGCGGTCAACAACACACTGGACCACAACACGGTGCCTCAGGCAGACATTTATCAGTAAGGCTTTCCCGAATCATGAGAATCGCCAAAATTTGAAATGAGAGTAAATGAAAACTTTCGTTTCAATCCGCTAAAACTCCAGAAGACCAGGCGCAGAATACGCGGTCCAAGATTTATTCTTCGACTTCTTCAACTACGCTGGGATTCACAGATCAGTGATTTTGTACAGAACTCCGCAGACATATATCAACGACGTCACTTTCGTCACGCTAGAAGTGAACGAAGAACAATCCAACGGTGAGCGAGGAATCCCATATTTCTTCCCGAAGTAAAGAATATAGTGAAATATCAAAACCCTGTTCTTAAAAATAATTACACAAAACGATTCAAGACACTGAACTGTTTCGAAATCGAAATAATCGTGTTTACCACTGAAACCGATCCCCACATACGAAACATCATCTGTGCAAGCATCGCGGAGTTCATCAGAAACTTCAAGCGAGATAAAATCTTACACGGACACTCGACAGGTGTCGCTCCGTTCGTGTACTCTAAAGGGAAACACGAGGTAAATCTCAAAAGTTCTCGAATTTACTGATGTCAACCATGAAAAAAGGTTACTTTGGTTGAGAAAATTTGTATGTATTAAGCAACGCTTCGTACGCCAACAACCGTTAAAATTACGTGAACTTTAGGTGCCCTATTCAATTAAGTAAGGGACGCTAGGCGAAAAATTCGGATCAACTGTGGCACTCATCATGTTCACAGCGTAAAATTGTTCAGTACATATCTTGAAAACACAATGAAAAAATTCTTGCCCGTGTTCATCTGAATACTGAGAAAAATTTTCCGCTTCAACAATTCAGAAACGGCGTCGTATGGACCACAGAGCACGAAATATATTTTATTCTTCCTTTGGAAAACATTTAATACTGTATCAATGTTCACTGATTCTAAGAAGGTTAAAGTTTTCTTTGCTGGTCAGAACCTGATCCGGATACGAAAAATTCAACGAAGTCTTCAGAAAGAAGCACTGAGAACCGTAATTATAACATCTGTGCTATTCGATGAAAGCTTACTTTTTGAGGAGTAGAAATACACGCAGATATTTTTCTGAAAATGCCCCCATATAGCATATATGTCGTCGATCATTATCGAAACAGATTCCAAAAAAGAGTAAAATAAAAATGTTCGTCATAATGGACGGTTTCCGCTATAAAAACTCCGAAATACTTCGCAAAAACGCCACTAATTCCTATGACTTCTCACAAAATTTAGCGCAAGTATCTGTGTCAGTCGACATACGACCAGCAACGACGGGCGGGTTAGAATGCTTGCTGGTCCTGGAAGACCACACTGGCAGTATTGCGCATTCAACAAGCATTGACTTGGATGCAGCCAATAGCGTTTCTTTCCCACTGACCAATGCCAGATTTTGGTGGCCATATCTGATGAGGACTGATTACGGCTACTTATATCAACTAAAAGTAAGTTTGCACCATTATATGAGGTATCCAGGTGAACAGTGTTGTTCCAATGCTTAATGGTAGAATTCAACTCGTTCCAAGTGGCAATAAGTGTACGGTATGTACAATTGCACATCATTCTACGGTGTATTAGAACTTATTATGCATCAGTCAACCCTCTTTTACATTTAACTCATATGAGATCCACAAAAATGTTTGACAAGGAGTTTTTAAATTAGGGAAACCAACATGTTTGCTGGAAAAATGAAAAAAAGGTACAATTTGTATATCATGGTCCTTCAGCTACTGGATAAATGAGTCGACAGGATGCTGAACTTGGGGGTAAGGGATACTTTATTTGCCCAATCAGTCACCAACTTTCTTTTCTTTAATATTCTCTTTCCTGGGTCCCCAGAAAAATAATGTAAATGCCTTCAGAAATTTGAAAATGAGGTCTATAATACAAGTGGACTCTTTCTACAACAGTCTTGTCTACAATCATTTTCTCACTGTAGCAATTATTTCCCTTGAATTTTGTTGTTGAGTCCACCTGTACATTGTTCTTGAGATTATTCCGACAGGACTGAAACCAAATTTACCAACAGGGGTTTTTTTTAAGGCAAAACTGCATTTGCATTCTGTTAGTTTTGGAGAAGACATTCTTCCCAGGACAAAATGTACTTCTGCTTTTGTTTTGTTATTATGGATGCGTATACAATCTCCTTCATGAAATTTCCCCCGAATAATTATTGAACATTTCGATTTCAGCTCAATTTGCAAAGGAAGTCAGATGGTCTCCTCCTGGACTCATATGATTTGCCTGTAGGCATCCGAACTGTGTCATGGAACTCTGATCAGTTCTTCATCAACAATTCGCCATTTTACTTCCGTGGATTTGGAAAACACGAAGATTATCCGGTCAGTTCTCATTCGTAACTCATTCATAAATGCATTTTTTTTTCAAGCGTTGCACATTTCTTTCAGATTCGGGGAAAAGGTCTCGATTGGCCGTATATAATCAAAGACTTCAACCTCCTTCACTGGGTCGGCGCAAACTCTTTCCGAACTTCCCATTACCCCTACTCTGAGGAAATCGTCCAAACTGCGGACAAATATGGAATCGTCATAATTGATGAAGTACCAGCTGTGGCTCTAAGATACTTCCATGCAAGCGTACTTGATGTTCACAAGCAGATGGTTGCGGAACTTATACAAAGGGACAAAAACAACCCTAGTGTGGTCATGTGGTCATTGGGCAATGAATGCAAGACTGCGATCAATGAGTCACAACCATACTTCAGGTTAATTTTTTTATGTAGAAAAATTCGGACTTCGTAAATGCAGCAGAACCCCTTCCCTCCCTCGATTTCTGCCAAGATTTTGACACAAATAAATCTGCTCAATCTTTACGGGATTGGGAAACCTATAAATATACCGTCATTTGCCGAAGTTTTTCTTGTCTCAAGTAGCCTTCTACCTTCATTTTCTTCCCTCAATCATCCTAGAATGTTTTCATTTTGTCCCGCTAAGGTTTTTTCACATCTTGAACACGATCTTCTCAATCCATTTTTCTTATTAACTGGCAAGGTTTTCCCCATTATCAGAACATGCTCTCATGATCTTTTTTTTTTAGA